ATAAATCAAGAGCATTTACCAAAAAACTTTCATTTTTCCGTCGAAAATATCATAATAGAGCGCTTTTATTGGTAAACTCCAAAAATTAGAGAAATCTTGACCAAACAAAACAAAAAAATCAGAAAGAACCTCACGTTTTGACCAATCAAAATTGGCCACCCCCTCCCCAACCACCTGCAAATTTCCCTCTCAGGGCAGAAAATTTAGTCTAGTGTCAACCTTCAAGCGTAAATTGTGACCTCCCAAGAAAAAATGACGCGTTTGGTGAGTAAAAACAATTATTTCAGTAGAAAAAACAAATTTTCAAAATTTTCAGACACTTTTTCTTTCAATAACCCTCGCCAGTGTCTTCTCAAAACGCCCCCAATGCAATTCCACAAATTTCTGCTTCTGCCATGAGGACCCCGAATTGCTTTATCTCTGCCCAATCAACTATTCCGAAATTGGAGGCTTCGATATCACAATAACCAGACTCCAAGAAGTGATAATTGAGTGTGTGGATCTCCCGATTTTCGACCCCAAAAAACTACCAAAAATCGACCTCACAAAAATTAATTTACTCCGGGTGAGGTTTTGTCCCCTATCCAGTGAAGGTTTCCGGGAAATTTTACACGGGTTAGGGGTGGAAGAAGTGGTAGTTGTGGATTTCGAAAATGGGCAAAATACCTCACTTGAAAAAAAACATTTCCAAGGATTGGAGAATTTGAAATACTTGAAATTGAGCCAAAACGTGTTGAAAAATCTAGAAGAGGACACTTTTTTCAACACCCCAAACCTCCACGTGCTTGAAGCCCCCAACAATAATTTAATTGACTTAAAACCGAATTTGTTCCACAAAATCGACTCCTTGGAATTGCTCGACCTCTCCGACAACCAACTCGAAAATTTACCACAAGAAATTTTCAAAAATTGCAAAAACTTGAGAATTTTGACACTCAATGGAAACAAACTGAAACACCTCCCTGAAAATTTGTTCAAAAATCTTGACAATTTGCAGGAATTAGACTTGTCAAATAACCAAATCCGGACAATTCACCGAGAAGAATTTAAATCACTGAAAAAATTGTTTTTGAGTTTTAATCACAATTTGGTACTCCCGAACCAATTTTTCTCACATCTTCTCTTACTAGAAGAAATTCATTTGTCTCACTGTAATTTGACTCAATTACCCGATGATATCTTCGAGAATTGTACAGAATTGAAGATATTGTCACTCAATGGGAATAATTTGAAGTATCTCCCTGAAAATTTCCTGAAAAACCTCCACAGTTTGGAAGAATTAGACTTGTCGCACAACCAAATCGAAACAATCCCAGATTTTGAGGGATTAACAACACTCAAAATCCTCAAACTCGCAAATAACAAGATTGAGGTACTGCAGGAAGAAAGTTTCAGCGATTTGATACGACTTGAAGAATTGGATCTTGAACAAAATCAAATCAGGGTGATCCATCCTGGGATTTTTTTCAACAATGATGAATTACGTATCATCAATCTTGCACATAATTGGTACTCAGGTTGTGAAGTACTCTTCAAGAACACCATCAATGTTGAGGAAATCGATTTGAGTGATAATTTTATCACTGGGGATGTTGTCACGTTTGACAATAAGCCGTTCCTTAGAAAAGTCGATTTTAGTCACAATTCAATTCGAGCAATTTCGGTAAGTACTTTTCATATTTTCAATTTCAAAAACAAAAAAAATTATGCAGGAACAATTACGCAAAAAAACGATTTCTTCTTCCTTATTCAGAAAATTTAAAAACAATATAATTTTTTGTATAGCACAAAAGAAAAAATCCATAAATAACATGCAATAAAAACTGTCAAAAAATAGTACATGCTCAAAGTTGTAAAATGCTTCAAGTTGTTGAGTTTTGAAAAATAATACACTATTGTT